ACAAACAAACCTTACTTAAACATATCTTAGCGTCCTAAAAGCTCAAATGGGTTTTAAAAGCCTATTTTACACACCGCGATATTAGATCTATCCAGTCATGGAGTTGGTTTGAGATGTTTTACATTTGTTCTTGCAGCTGCCTTTAACTTGCAAACTTATCGCTTATTACATTACTTCCGTTCGCCCGTCACGCGTCACGTAATGTTGCCAGTCAACTCATTACCGCGCGAGTTATTCATTTATTTGAAACCTGCAGCGTTTGGTGATCCATCTCCAGCAAATTTTTGCTTAGAAAGGGTGTTTGGAAAAGATATATGTAGGCACCTATAAAACTTAGGAAAAACTAGTCCAGTTTAGCCATCTGACCACTCTCCCTATTTAGGAGAAGTCTTCAGTTTGGGAAAAATAGTGATACCGAAGAAAATGCATAGATATGGAAGTGATCATGCCAAGTCAAGCCAGCCATTCTCTTCGAGGAAGGGCAAACACACTAAACGTCGGCTTTAGAAACTATTTACGGTAGCCAATTTGCAATATTAATAAAGTTAATAAAAACAAAATTATCAAACTTGGAAATTTCTTATATTTTGCGACTAACACGATGAACTGTTTCCAAGAATTTTTTTTTCCATAAGATAAGGAATGAAGAGCTGTACATCAAAGAGGATTGCCAAGAAAAGGTATCTAATCATGTTGACTGGCCAAAGAAAGGATCTATTTATATACTAGAATAAGGATCACCTACATCAAAGTCGAGCTCTGACAAATTTGGAACGTCTTGTATTCACTTGGGCATATGAGGGTTAACACTTCTCTTTAAGAGTCACTCATGTGAATCGAAAGCATATCTCCAATTCTCCATGGCAACAGTTCTTTTACGCCTGATACCGCCAACTTTAGTGGCAAGCTCTTTGCAATTATTCCTCCAAAACGTTCTCAAGTTGTAATTTGTTGTTTTTAAGCACACAAGATCATTTTCTCGGTTGGAAACTTCTGCTCATGATTTTCTATCACCTGATAGTGGCCGCCTTTACCAATTGACATTAATTTAGATCATTAGCAAATATCTCAACACCGTCACGGTCAAGCAAATGATGCTTCAGCCGAAACATGTTTCCCTGGCATAAATCATCTAGAAACTAACTTAGAGTCTAACTTACGAAGCGCATCGGAGTTTAAAATACATTCCGACACAAAACCAACATCAGTAAGAAATCAAAGTAAAAATACATGAAGAGCAAACTTCCTGAGGCAAAGGAAAACACGAGTGACAAATTCAAAATTTTTTACAACTTTTTTTTCGCATCCGACTAGTTGTCTACTCTGGAAACTAGAACACCGATATCGTACGGGACTAATTCAAAGCTGTAACTCCCAACAAAATTATTCTTTTCAGCGCAACATCTGTTTAAAAACGAAGAGGGCTCTAAGATATGCGCGTTATTGGAAAAAGGCAATGCAAGCTGAATTACTTAATATGCATAGCAGCTCGAATATGAGATCTAGAAATCCCTATGGATGAGGTGTGCGTTTACTCGAAAAACTGTGAAACAGGTCTAAGTAATTTTGCCTGTGGTAAAAGCTTAAAAATTATGCGCAACGCTGGGATAAAAGATATAATGGACCGCAAAGAATGATTACAATTTCTGCGGTACATAGTTCTGTCGAAAGTTTGCAATTTAAGAATCTAAAATCCAGCCGTCTAGGGTCATTGTCTTTTATTTCTGCGACATGTTTCGCTGATCCAGTGAAAGTGAATAATGACCCATATCTGTCTCTGAATGCCGTCAAATCTGCACTTCCAGTCCTTACATACTTTGTATTGACTAATTTTCCTTACACTTGTTTAGGCAAACTAAAATATCTATAATAACGCTTTCTGAATAGTACCTCTCCAAGTTTAAGCGAGCTACTAACCAAGAATAATTGGGTTGAGGCTAGAAAAATGAAAGAGGTTCTATATATAAATATATCTCCTGTGTAATTATGATTTATTTGCTACTCAAGTTACGCAGTCATCTGTTTCCTTGCTAAACAGCTTACAATAAAAAAAGTTCTATTTTTTTCAATAAAGACGGGATTTTTGATGACGGTGACGTATAATTGGTGGAGAACGATTCTCAAATAGATCTCTATCGTTTCATCAAAACACGAAGCACTGCAATAAAACCGGTATTCATTTAATACACGCTAAGTACTCCCATTAGACAATGTAGACAAGGAAACTTAACGGTTTAGTGGTAAAGGGCGCAGGGAGGACGTATGTGCTCGATTGAACACTTCGCTTCTTTACTTTAGCCAAGACGTGCAGTCTGGGCTGATCGGAACCCTTCAGCACCTGAACTGTGAGGATCTAAGCTTCCTTAAAGAGACCGTGGGGAAATAACGTAAGTGAATTAATAACAGTTTACTTACTGATATAGTTTTTATTTTGAGTGGTCTTCGATTCCAAGATCGGACTCTGCACCCTT